ATATCACTGTTTCCCTTCCAGGACCCACCTGAGCCCCCTGGTGCCTGATGGGTGCAGGACTCTTTGAAGAAATGTGAAGAACGCCCTTCTCCCCATTGGTGTTCCATCTTGTCACCTGGGCCCTGAGGCAGCATTGCGTGGGCCTGCATGTCTCAGGGGCCTTTGGCATCTGCCTGCAGCATTGACTCCATGGACCCCCTGTGGGCAGGATGGGTCCCATGTGTATATAGGTGTGTGTATATATATGTGTGTGTGAGTATATATGTATGTATATATGTGTGTACATATACATGTATTTTTTACTTATACTGACACTAACAATTATATATATATATTTTATTTATTTATTTATTTATTTTTCTTTTGATGAGGGAGTTTGGCCCTGAGCTAAGATCTGTGGCAGTCTTACTCTATTTTTTTTTTGTACGTGGGATGCCACCATAGCATGGCTTGATGAGCAGTGTGTAGGTCCGTGCCTTGGATCCGAACCCATGACCCCAGGCTGCCAAAGCAGAGCATACAGATTTAACCACTACGCCACTAGGTCCCTAACAATCATGTCTTTAAGAACGCCCATGCAGAAGGGTTCCCTCCATGAGTTACTAGGCCTGCGGTCTAGAGAAGAGGCTCTCAGCAGGATCTCAGAGTGAGATCCTTCCATATGCGGACAAGGAAACTGAAGCCCAGCATGGGAAAGCGACTAGGCCAGGATCACACAGCAGCCTAGTGACAGGGTCAGGGTTCCCAATTCCTTATCCAGAATGTTCTCTGGAACTCAAGGTGGAGCTGATCTGAGGTTTGAGTTCCTACCTGGACCAGGCGGATTCAGAGATCTGTTGAGAAGTCTGCAGAACCTTGACCCTGGAGAAAGGAGAGGAAATTGGTCAACAGCAATCAGTTTCTACTGCTCAGTGACCGAAAGGCAAGGTGGACGCTCCCAGCTCTTGAAGAGATGAGGCCCCTGCCTGCAAATCTGTGGGTGGCTAAACACCACATCTCCAGCAGTTTGCTACATGTCTTTTATTCAATCTTTTATATAGAAATCATTCACACGGTTCCAAAATTTAAAAATATTTTAAAAACTTAAAAAGCAGTGAAAATTCTCATTCTTACACCTATCTTCCATCCACTCAGAATCTTCCCACTTTTCCTTTGTCCACCAATAACCAACCACATTAATTAGCTTCTTGTGTCCTTCCATAGTAAAGATATTCAAATATAAGCAAATACAAATGCATATTCTAATTCCTCCCCCTCTGTACACTGCCCTTCACCGTGCTTGGACATCTCTTCCCTCCACTGCAGAGAGCATGCCTCATCCTTTTCCACAGCTGCATAGCATTCTACCACCTGATGTATTCAGCTCATCTCCTCCCATGAACTTTTAGGTTGTTTCCAGTTTTTGCCTAACAGACACAGCCTGCAATGAAAATCCTCTGCATCTGCCATTTGGCACATGAACCAGTTTATCTCTAGGATTAATCCTGGAAGTAGAATCACGGAATAAAATGGCACATGCATTTAAAATTTGGCTTGCTATTGCCAAATCACTACAAGTGATAATCAGTTTAGCGCCCCCCCCCCCCCCCCCCCCCCGCCAGGTAGGAGAGAGCCCGTCACCCACATCCCCGCTGACAGAGGGGCCTGCTAACCTTTTGGATTATTCCTGATGTGCGAGGCACTCTCCTGTCTCAGTGTGGTTTAGTTTGTGTTTCTCTAACATCTATTGAACTGGGCACCTTTTCACATGTTTAGGAGACACTTACGCTGCTTCATTTAATCGGCCCTGCCTTCCTCCTGATCATGGACCAAGGTTCTCTTTTTGTCTTTTAATTAGGAAAAAAGAAATTTCGGGAACATACAGAGAATAATTGGATCATGGCTGCAGAGCCATGCTGTCCAACGGAACTTTATGTGAGGATGGGAATGTTCTCAATCTGCACCATCCAATTTGGCAGCCACTGGCCTCTGTGGCTCTTGAGCCCTTGAAATGTGGCTAGCGCAACTGAGGAACTGAATTTTTAACTGCATTTAATTTTAATGAATTTAAGTGTAAATGTCAATAGCCACATGTGGCTTTGATACACTAACACTGCTGACAGCTGGAGGGCGCCACATTCTGGGAGACTCTGAACCTCAGTATTCAAGACCCTACTGGACGCAATCTGTCTGTGCTCAGTGAGGCTGCACAGGCTGAGGTCACATCAGTTCAGTGGCTTTGAACAGAATGGTAGGAGGGCAATGGAGTCAGCAGCCGGGGTTCAAATTCAGGCCCTACCACTTCCTAGCTGTGTGACCTTGGGCAAGTTACTTGACCTCTCTGAGCAGGTTTCCTCATCTGTAAAATGGGAGTATTACTAGCATCTGCTCCAAAGTGTTGCTTTGAGGGTTAAAAGAGACCTTTTGGTAAAGTGTACTTGAACCCTGGAAGGGGCCAGGACCATAGGAGGGATAGACACATCCCTTCAGGCTCAGGCTGACCACAGCTGGGTTAATGAATGCTGACAGGATTCCCAGTGCTCCAGGCACCTCGAAGGTATTCCTTCACTTAGTCCTCCCCACAACCCTAAAAGGTAGCTATTGTCCTTAGCTATATTTGGCAGATTAAGAAAATAGGCCCAGAGAGGTTAGGTAACTTGCCCCGGGCCACACAGCTAGGAAGTGGCAGAGCTGGGTTGGCTTCAAACCCAGTTTGGTTAACCCCTGAGACTGTTCCACTGACTGCTGTGCTAAACAGTCTGTGATTGAGAGGCTGTTTCGAAGTATGTTTCCAAAGGCAGTGGTTCTTGAAATGCAGTCTCGGACCGGCAGCATCAACATCATCTCAGAACTTGTTAGAAATGCAAATTCTTGGACCCTAGCCTAGAGCAACAGAATCAGAAACTCTGGGGGGCGGCCAGCAGCCTGTGCCGTAACAAGCCGTCTGTGTGATTCTGGGGCAGCCTAGAGCTTGAGAAGCATAGCTCACAGGGCATTTGAGTCTTGGCTTTAAGCTTCGCTGGGGCTCGAAGCTCCTGCTCTCTCTCCTGGCCCGGTACAACTCCCTCCCCGACCGCAGCAGCCTCCCTCAAGCTCCGGCTGCCCTGTGATATATGCCCCCCAGATAGGGCCCTCCTCTCCAGACCTGCTCGTGGACCTGAGAGTAGGCCAAGACTTCAGTGGTTAGCGAGGGCTAGCCCCACCCCCGTCCCCCTGCTGCTGGCCCGGCTCCCGTTTGGGCGTCATTAATCTGCAGTCTGCAGGGGTTCCTTCTCAGACTGTTAGCCTCCCGGTAATTAGCCCCATGGAAAGTGGCGCGGACAGGGGTGCTGCTACCCTGTTGTTTTGAAAGGGGTATATCTCCCCGGCTGATGGCTTGTTGTGACTGACTGTCAGCCTCAGACGACAGAAATCAGGCCCCAGTGAGAGCATCTGTCACAGCTTGGAGCTACCAGGTCCCCAGGAGAATGAAAAGGGAGGGAGAAGACGTAGACACGTAAGCCCCAAATAATCGGTGGAGGCCAAGGCGCTGTGGGGCACCCAGGGCCCTGGCTGCACGTTAGCATCGCCCAGGGAGCTTGAGGACATGGGGAGCCTAGACCCCATCCCAGGCCAATGAGGATCAGACCCTCTGGGCTGGCACCTGGGTGCTGATCATTTTTAAAAGCTTCTCAGATGATTCCTCCCCTCCCCCCAACTTTATTGAGATACAATTGACATATAACATTGTATAAGTTTAAGATGTACAATGTGATGATTTGGTGCATGGATACGCTGCAAAGTGAGGACCACAATAAGCTTAGTTTACACATCCATCACCTCCCATAGTTATTTTGTTGTTGTGGTGGTGAGGGCATTTAAGACACTGTCTTAGCAACTTTCAAGTAAATAATACAGTATTGTTAACTATGGTCACCATGCTGGACATCCTATCTCCAGGACTCCTTCATCTGATAACTGGAGGTTTGTTCCCTTTGTCTCACATCTCCCTTCCCCCATCCTCTAGCCCCTAGCAGCTGCCAGTCTACTCTCTGTTTCTATGAGTTTGGCTTTTTTAGATTCCACATCTAAGTGAGATCATACAGTATTTGTCTTTCTCTGATTATTTAACTTAGCATATTGCCCTCGAGCTTTATCCATGCTATTGCAAATGGCAGGATTTCCTGCTTTTTTATGGCTGAATAATATTTCATTGTGTATATATACCACGTTTTCTTTATCCATTCATCTGTCGATGGACACCCAGGTCGTTCCCACGTCTTGGCTGTTGTGAATAGTGCTGCGGTGAACACTGGGTGCAGATCTCTCTTCGACATAGCGATTTCATGATTCTAACGTGCAGCCTGTGCCGGGGAGCAGGTGGCGGGCGGGGGGACTGCTGCAGCCCATCCAGGCAGTGGTGGGAAGGCTTCACCAACCCTAGTTTGAAAAATTAAGCTGAAAAAGAATCAGACGTCCCGTCTGACTCAGCCCCATTATCCCTAATCACGTTGAGATTGCACTAACCTCTGCCTGGCAAGTTCCTATGGCAGCAGCTCAAGAATGATGCGCGGGTGGAGGGAGGGGAGAGTGGGCAGCGGAACTGCTCACTCCTGAGCAACCGGAGAAGGCAGCCCCTGCCCACTGGACATGGCGCTGTCACGGGGGGCTTGTCCCCGGTGGGGACGACCAGTGCCTTCACTTGTCTGCCTGCAGAGCTGTCGGGGATGTGGGCTCTGCAGCGTAGGCCTGGCGTGGAGGCTGGGTCCCGGCCGTCCTTGGGTCTCCCCTCAGCCAGGCTCACGATGCTGCTCTCGGGAGTCCTTGCTCCAAGACAGAAGGCACATAAAAAGCCTCGATTTCAGAAACATTTGGTATAAGCTGAATGCAGGTGTTAAAAATGATGAGGTAGCCCTTACAGAGAAGGACCTCAAAAGACGTCTACTGTGCACTATCAAATGAAAAAAACAGTTTAGGAAATAGTGTGTGGAATACTCCTAGCCTGCCCAGTCTGCTGTAACACAACACCACGGGCCAGGGGCTTAAACGACAGACATTTATTATCTCACAGTTCTGGGGGCTGGACGTCCACGATGAAGGTCCTGGCAGTGTTGGTTCCATGAGGACTCTATTCCCGGTTTCCAGAAGGCCACCTTCTCACAGGGCCCTCGCACGGCCTTTCCTCAGTGTGTGCGCTGTGGGGCCGGGGGAGAGAGCCGGGGTGGGCGGAGGAGCACTCGCTCTCTGGTGTCCCTCCTTAGGACGCCCATCCTATGAGAGCAGCACCCCATGACCTCAGTTAACCTTAATTGGAGGCCCCATCTCCAAATCCAGCCACACTGGGGGCTAGGGCTGCCACATATGAACTTTGCGGGGCACAAACATCCAGACCATCACTAGGAGCAAATGCTGCCAAGGACCTTGGGCTCCAACCAGCTCCTCTGTTGACGCATTGGGTCACCTAGGTGAAGTGATGTGACTTCTTAGAGGTCCTCAGTTTCCCCTCCTGCAATCTGGGGAAGACTGTACCTCTGCCTCCCACCTTCTGGGACCGTTACAAAGATGAAGATGGCTGTGAGACCGTGAGAGAGCCTTGTAACTTGTGAGGACCCCGCAATCAGAGGTCCCATTTGAGAAGGGAGAGCTGGAGTGATTCTGGGGAGCCCCTAACCCTCAGGCTCACCTTGGGTCGGAAGGGGGTGTTCACGAAGATGCCTGGTGCTTGAGGTTCCAGGTGCAGCACATGCATCTGCCAGGGCACAAACACAAATGCCAGAAGGCTGGGCTGGTCCCATCCTTCAGGGGAGTGGAAGTGGGCATGGCCAGGATGGCAGGTTGCCATGGTGACAAGGCACCTGGACCCGGCAGGCCACACCCTGCTTCAGCCAGGGAAGTCGGCTGTTTCCTCTCAGTTTCTGAATTATCAGGACAAGATGGAAATTTGACTTGTTCTGTGGGTGGGTAGGTAGCTGATGGAAGCATTTAACACACTAGCAAACCAAACCAAACTAAACCAAACAGGCCCAATTTGGCCCACAGTCCAGCAGTTTCTGACCTAGGCTGTCAGAGTCGCTGGCAGGATGGGCAGGGTTGGGCTTGGGAAGGATAAAGGAGCTGGAGAGAGATGGGGGTGGTGGTGGTGGGGTACCACTGGTATCTAGTGGGTAGAGGTCCGAGACGCCGCTGAACATCCTCCAGTGCACAGGAGAGCAACCCCTCCCCACCCCGCCAATTCTTTCTTGTCCTGTGCATTGTAGGACACAAACACATGGTCTTAACTGGGAGCTAGGCAGTAGGGGACTGTCCCTCAACATTCAGCCTGATGCCACTCTTCCTCTGAAATACATTCAGCCCAGTTCCAAGCTGCCTGTCCTTGTTTAGAAGGCAATTCTCAGGTGGAAGAGGTTTCTAGCAGTCTAGCCAGGCCTGCTTGTTCCCAGCCTCTCTGGGAGAAATGTGCAGCCTAAATATTAGTTATTACCATCTTGATAAGATTGCACCTAAAACGTTTTATCTTAAGTATGATCAACTGGGCTCTTCAAGAGAGAAACAAACAAGCTTATTTCATTTACTCTGAAAGTTCCCATCCAGAACCCAATTTCCCTCCCCCTCCCTGCTCCCGGCCAGCCAGCAGGAGGGCGCCTGAGCACTCTGAGAGGGGAGGGCGCAAAGGCAGGTGCGCCCTGCTGTCTCGCCGTCTTGGGGCTCAGAGTCCTTAACTGCTTCCAGGGCCGCTTCTCCATGAACCAGCGCTCTCGGGAGTGTGTCTGCCATTTATTATTTGATTAGTCTCTCCAAGGGCATCTTAATTTGTCCTTCCCAGACACGTCCTCCAGCCAGACGGTGTGAGAAATTACGTCTCTGAGCCTGCTATAATAAGACAATTATTCCAACAGCCTCCCACATCACGGCAATAAGTCCTGAGCTTGGTCATGGCCCTAATTTCCATCAGGGGTGAGAACGCACGGAAACTTTGAGAAGCTGTAGCTTTCAGAGGACCAGTGTGCAGAGGAAAAACCCAGGCAGGGCCTTGACTCTGGGAGTGAGGTTTGTTCCCCTCACTGTGCTCGTGGTCTCTGGAGACATGGGGACAGCGTGCGGGAAGCCATGGGCTTTGGAGCCCAAAGACTGGAGCTGGGATCCGAGTTCTGCACTGTGTGTGGCCCTGGGAAAATGATTTAACCTCTCTGGGCCTCAGTTTCCTCATCTGCAAAATGGGTGTGATTATAACAGTCCTATGGGACATCGGCTGCTTCCTGGCTGCTCCACACCTCTTCTCCCTCCTTTGGGAACAGCGTCTTGATTTCCTTTTGGGGAACTACCTCCCCACCATGTGCAACATCAGGGAGACACAAATCAACGCATTCTGTCACCCTGGCCACTGAGCGATCATGGGACCAAACCAGACCAATCAAAGTGACTCCAGGTGGGGACACCTGCAGAGTGACCGGGGCTCCTCCTTCTGGCAGCTGAGCCCTGACAAGACCCCTGAGAGATGCTGCTTCTCAGACCCCCAGATCTGCTGGGGTTCCTGGGCCTCTTCTGCTCCCGTTTCTCCAGCTTTCTTGTCACCTCCGTGAGCTAACCAATATCCTTCCAACAGACTCCTCTTTGCTTCCATTCTCTGGCGTTAGTTTCTCTCATTCGTAAGCGAAGACTCCTGTCACCCCTAGGCTTGTTGAGAAATGAGAAAGCGGATCTCTTGTATAATTAAGTTCCTCCCTCAGAGCCTAGCATATGTGGGTCCTCAGGCAGCGGGGCGCTCTCCCAATCTCTGCCCAGGAGAGCAGAGTGTGTGGAGCGGAAGAGAGGCCTGAGAGAGCAGCCCACGTGTGTGTGTGGGGCGGGGGGCGCTGCCACGGAGGGCCGAGACTGTCTGGGGCGAGGGCTCTTCATTCCCCTGCTTCGATTCGCCTGTTCCCCTGGGATCCTTTTCTCACTCCTTCTGACTCCTCGGAGGGAGGGGGAACGGTCAAGGGAGGGGCTGGAAAGGGACCATGGACCCGAGGCGCCCCTCCTTTCTGGTTTGGAGGAGGCGGCGGGCTCCAGGGGTGGGCTGCCCGTCCACCGCCCCGCAGCTGCTGAGCCTGCCCACCTGCCCGCTCTGGGTGAGGAGAGACGCGCCGCCAGAAGGAGAAGCTCTTTGGATTTCAAATCGCATCTCCATGTGCACAGATGAGCTGCCTGAAGCGCCATCAATTTGCCTGAACCTCAGGAGAGGCAGGATTTGCTGGGCCCCCGGACAGCAATCATCAGATCCAAACGCGCCAGCGAGAAACAAATGTTCACTAAGTGGCATTAAATGAGCAAAACACTTCAGAATCACCTACTTCCCTTTTCTTGGAAAAAAAAAAAATCTATTTTGTGAGAAATTAAATTGCACAGAAAAGTACAAAAAGAATATAACCAACATCTACCTTGTCACCACTTAATAGCTGTTAACATCTGATCTTATTTTCTCCCCCTCTCCCTTTTCTAAAAACAGTAAACAGGAAGGGAGCTAAAGTCTTTTTGACTCTCTTGCCGGATCCCATTTCACTCCGCCACAGCCCAAGGCTGCTCCTGCGAGGTTGCTGTGGCCCCGTCCGCTCCGCAGTGCGCACACAGTGTGTCCACAGTACGATCAGTACTGTTTTTGTGTGTTTTAAAAAATGACATAATTACATTGTTCTATACATGTCATTTGTCTTCTTGCTTTTCTCATCCACCGTTTTGTCTTTGAAATCTGTGTTGGGGTGTACGCCCTAAGGACACACTTGCTTCGTTTTAACTTCCATAAAGTATTCACTGTATGGAGAGGCGACCTCCTGCTGCCCTGTTGCTGGACACTCAGGTGTGTGTCCCCTGGGGCTGTGTGCCTCTGCGTGCACCTGTCGCCCTGAGCATGTGTGCGCTTCCCTCGGAAGGGTTTGGGGTGTGCATTTCCAGCTTTAGGAAATCCTGCCAGGCGGCCACCCATCCTCCCTCCCCACTTTTCCTAGCTGCTCCGTCCTCCAGTGTCACAGGGGCCTCCTCTGGTCAAATCCAGGGGTCGCTGACCAGCCTCCTCCTTGATGCTGGCTGACCACGCCCACCTTCCTGGTGTCTCTCCCCCTCTCACCCACTGTTGCTCTTCCTGCTTTTCTTTACATGCTTCTCTTCGCCCACTCCCCTCCAAGGCTCCGCCCAGCTGTTATGGAACCAGGTCCTTCTTTGCCCTCTGCCCAGAAAGCCAAACCCTGGGATGATGAGATTGCAGCCGAGAGAGAGTTTAACCACGAGGCAGCCATGCGAGGAAGCGAGAGCGTGTCTCAAATCTGCTTCCCCGAAAATGGGGCCTCAGGGATATTTATGGGGTGGGGGCAAGGAGGTCTGAAATGTGGAGGGAGGTGATGGGAGGTGAGGAGAGGTGAGGGAATTGACGATCTGCGCAAGGTAATCAGACTCCGTGCCCCTTCATAGGACCCGTGTTCACAAAATGGCGGCTTTAGCATGTTCTGGGGGAGGGGTTTTTTAGCCTCTTGAAGTCAAAAGGTCGCCTGTTGGACATCTGTGTGGGCCCAGTTGATGGGTTGGTGGTCTCAACCAGCCTGGAGTGGACAGAGGGGTTCTAGTTCCTGACAAAGAGCTCAAACATCCACTTTCACGGTGACCCAGGCTGCAGGGAGATGTTGTCTAGAGGAATCTAGTGGGAGTCGGATAGTGTATTGTCTAAACAGCATAGTTAACAATGGGTGGGTTAAACGGCTAAAAGCTATAATTTGTCATTGCAAAAAGGAAAAAAAAAAACTTTAGTTCCTAGCTGCTTAATCATCAACGGCTAACCCTCTGCCAGTTTCACAGCCTCTCCGATTTTTGTTTGTGCCCGGACTCGCACGCTGGCAGAGAGGCAGCTGTGGCTGAGATGTGTCTCGTCTGGCCAGCACGATGTTCGTGAAGCTTTTATAATGGGAACCCCCAGCCCCAGGTACTCCCCTCTGTGTCTTACACCAGCCGGAAGGAGGTTACCTGCTTGGCACCTGTAGTGGAGAGCGTCGGTTGGCTCACTCAGCTTCTGTTCCAACCTCCTTCTGGGATAACTTCCTCCACGGCAGAGGCTGGAAAGCTAGGGTCTGCATTTCCCAAACTCGCTGCAGGTGTGGCTCCAGGAGGGACTCAGTCACCATGGGACACACTTACTGGGACTCGCAGGGGAGAGTGGCAGCAGCTGTTTTGCTGTGGTGGATTCCAGCAGGTACAACGCGGCTCTGGAGCCAGCTGTTCTAGGGGCAGCTTTTTGACCCCCAACCGCCAGTGGTGTAGACATGGAGCCAGCAGTTGCCTCCTACCCCTGTAGCTTCCTGATTATAGCAGAAGTAGCAATTCCTTTCCCTCGGTGGACCAGTTCTGTGGGGTTTTTTGGAATCTCTTCTCAGCCTAGAGATTATCTGTTCCTCCATCACTTCCAATGACTCTGTAGGCACTTAATTCCTGGAATTAAATTCATTTCTGCTTAAACTAGGTGGATTGGTTACTCTTATCTGCAGCTGAGCCCTGACTAATAGGGGCCCTGAAGGGAAAGAGTTTTTTTTTTTTTTTTTGAGGAAGATCAGCCCTGAGCTAACTGCTGCCAATCCTCCTCTTTTTGTTGAGGAAGACTGGCCCTGAGCTAACATCCGTCCCCATCTTCCTCTGCTTTATATGTGGGACTCCTACCACAGCATGGCTTGCCAAGCGGTGCCATGTCTGCCTCCGGGATCCGAACCGGTGAACACCGGCACCCGGCCACCGAAGTGGAATGTGCGAACTTAACCGCTGCGCCACCGGGCTGGCCCCAGGGAAAGAGTTTTTGACCCCTGATTTATTCCTTCACTTTCTCTGAGAGCACATGCTGACTTCAGTTTTGTTCATTTATTTATTGAATCATCCAAAAATATGTCTAAAGCATCTGTTAGGCGCTCGTCACTGTGCTGAACTTGGGGGATTCGACAGTGAACAAGATGGTGCCGATCAGCATCCCCATTCCAGTCCTGGGAGCAGCACTCTCTCTGTCTTCTAAACTGGAGACCACACACACGCCGTTGACTCTTCTCTTTCTACCCCCGTCACATCCCAATGGCTCCTCTGTAAGTTCTGGCTTCATAGGGAGCTTCAACAAATCGTTGATTTTATTCCGTAGGACCCTGAGGCCCTACGTTCTCCAAGCATATCCCTGTGCAGACAACATGACAGACAAGCCGCGAGGAAGGAGGTTGTTACCCAAGAAGGTCACCTGCATTCCTGAGCTTTCTAAAGGGCAGCATTAGCATCTGCCCTGAAAAGCCCAGCTATCTGGCTCTAAGAGAACTGATCAATTGCCGCTTTCCCCAAGACAAAGGGCCTTATCAGCCCAGCTGACAGAAACAGCTGCTTCCCCTGCAGCTGAATTGGATCACATCTGGGAAGGTTTAAATCAAACAGACCATTTCTTTTTGTATAAATGGATGCTGTAACGTTGAGATCCGCCGTGCCTCAAGAGAGGGAGTGAAAAACCCCACAGAATGTCGTTGACTTTAAATGAGCCAGCGCTGCTGCAGGGACGTACATACTTTCTTGTCTTTTTCTTTTTTAGAGTTGGAAGGGAGCGTATGAATTATTTAAACTAGACTTCAAGATAAAGAATATTGCCAAAGCTATTCATCATGACAGACCTTTCCTAATGATGAAAAAGGCCAATTCATCAGAAGACATAGCAATCCCAAATGTATGTGCACCCAATAACAGAGCTGCAAAATACAAGAAGCAAACCTGACAGAACTCAAGGGACAAGGAGACATATCTGCCTTCTAGTAGGAAATTTCTTTACCCCCCTTTCAGTGATCGATAGAGCAAGTGGACAAAGGATGTGGAAGATCTGAACAAAACTATTAACCAGCTTGACCTAGTTGACCTTCATAGAACTCTCCACCCAATAACAGCAGAAGACACATTTTTTCTCCCTGTGAATGGAACATTCACCAAGATAGACCATATGCTGCACCACAAAACAAGTCTCAATAAATTTCAAAAGGGTGAGATTATATCAAGAATGCTCCCTAACCAAAATGGAATCGCATTGAAATAAAAAATAAAATATCTAGAAAATCTCCAAATATTTGGAAACTAAGAGACATACTTTTGAACAATCCATCGATCAAAGAAGAAATCATAAGGAGAATCAGTGTATCACCAATTGAGTGGATAATCATACTTCCTTTCACTCTCAGAAACACAGTGACCAAATGTCCCCCGTCTGCTCAGGGCTGTCCCAGTTGTTTCCTGAAAGTCCCATGTCCCAAGAAATTCCTCAGTCCTGGGCAAATCAAGACAGTTTGTCACCCAATGAAATGTTTGCATTCAGAGTACAAGTTATGTGATCACCTTAAGTATAGGGCTTCTTTCTCTCTTCCCTCTCTCTCTCTCTTTTTTTTTTTTTTTGAGCTTCTATTTTTTTTTATTGAGTTCATAATAGTTTACATCAATGTGAAATTTCAGTTGTACGTTATTTCTTGTCTGTCACCACATAAGTGCTCCCCTTCACCCCCTGTGCACACCCCCACCCCCCTTCCCCTGGCAACCACTGGACTATTTTCTTTGTCCATATGTTTGTTCATATTCCACATATGAGTGAAATCATCTGGTGTTTGTCTTTCTCAGTCTGGCTTATTTCGCTTAGCATAATTCCCTCCAGGTCCACCTATGTTGTTGCAAATGGGATGATTTTGTCTTTTTTTCTGGCTGAGTAGTATTCCATTGTATATATACACCACATCTTCTTTATCCAGTCATCAGTCGATGGGCACTTGGATTGTTTCCATGTCTTGGCTATTGTGAACAGTGCTGCGATGAACACAGGGGTGCATATGTTACTTTGGATTGTTGATTTCAAGTTGTTTGGGTAGATATCCAGTAGTGGGATAGCTGGGTGTATGGTGGTTCTATTTTTAGTTTTTTGAGGAATCTCCATACTGTTTTTCATAATGGCTGCGCCAGTTTGCATTCCTACCAGCAGTGCATAAGGGTTCCCTTTTCTCCACACCTTCTCCAACATTTATTTTTAGTCTTAGTGATTATAGCCATTTTAACAGGTGTAAGTGGTATCTTAGTGTAGTTTTGATTTGCATTTCCCTGATGATTAGTGATGTTGAACATCTTTTCATGTGTTTATTGGCCATCTGTATATCTTCTTTGGAAAAATGTCTGTTCATACCCTCTGCCCATTTTTGATTGGGCTGTTTGGTTTTTTGTTGTTCAGTTGCGTGAGTTCCTTATGTGTTATGAAGATTAACCCCTTATCGGATATATGATTTGCAAATATTTTGTCCCAATCGGTGGGTTGTCTTTTTGATTTGATCCTAGTTTCTTTTGCCTTGCAGAAGCTCTTTAGTCTGATGAACTCCCACTTGTTTGTTTTTTCTTTTGTTTCCCTTGTCTGAGAAGACATGGTATTTGAAAAGATCCTCTTAAGTTCGATGTCAAAGAGTGCACTACCTATATTATCTTCCAGGAGTTTTATGGTTTCAGAACTTATCTTCTAGTCTTTAATCCATTTTGAGTTGATTTTTGTGTATGGCGTGAGATAATGGCCTACTTTCATTGTTTTGCATGCAGCTGTCCAGTTTTCCCAACACCATTTATCAAAGAGACTGTCTTTTCTCCTTTGCATATTTGTGGCACCTTTGTTGAAGATTAGTTGTCTGTAGATGTGTGGTTTTATTTCTGGGCTTTCAGTTCTGTTCCATTGATCTGTGTGCCTGTTTCTATACCAGACCCATGCTGTTTTGATTACTTTAGCTTTATAGTACATTTTGAAGTCAGGGATTGTGATGCCTCCAGCTTTGTTCTTTTTTCTCAGGATTGCTTTAGCAATTCAGAGTCTTTTGTTGCCCCACATGAATTTTAGGATTCTTTGTTTTATTTCACTATTTCAGAGTGAAGAATGTCATTGGGATTCTGATTGGGATTGCATTGAATCTGTAGATTGCTTTGGGTAGTATGGAGATTTTAACTATGTTTATTCTTCCAATCCATGCGTGTGGAATCTCTTTCCATCTCTTTATGTCATCATCTATTTCTTTCAATAATGTCTTATAGTTTTCATTGTATAAGTCCCTCACCTCCTTGGTTAAATTTATTCCTAGATATTTTATTCTTTTTGTTGTGATTGTAAATGGAATTGTATTCTTGAGTTCTCTTTCTGTAAGTTCGTTATTAGAGTATAGAAATGCAACTGATTTTTCTAAGCTGATTTTGTACCCTGAAACTTTACTGTAGTTGTTAATTATTTCTGATAGTTTTCTGATGGATTCTTTAGGATTTTCTATATATAAGATTATGTTGTCTTCAAACTGCGAGAGTTTCACTTCTCCACTTCCCATTTGGATTCCTTTTACTCCTTTCTCTTGCCTAATTGCCCTAGCCAAAACCTCCAGTACTATGTTGAATAAGAGTAGCGATGGTGGACATCCTTGTCTTGTTCCTGTTCTCAGAGGTATGGCGTTCAGTTTTTCCCTATTGATTATGATGTTGGCTGTGGGTTTGTCATATATGGCCTTTATTATGTTGAGGTAATTTCCTTCTGTCCCCACTTGGTTAAGAGTTTTTATCATAAATGGCTGTTGGATCTTGTCAAATGCTTTCTCTGCATCTATTGAGATGATCATATGGTTTTTATTTCTCATTTTGTTAATGTGGTGTATCACATTGATTGATTTGCGGATGTTGAACCATCCCTGTGTCCCTGGAATAAATCTCACTGGATCATGATATATGATCTTTTTGATGTATTGCTGTGTTTGGGTTGCCAATATTTTGTTGAGGATTTTTGCATCTATGTTCACCAGCGATGTTGGCCTGTAGTTGTCCTTTTTTGTGTTATCCTTGTCAGACTTTTGTATCAGAGTGATGTTCGCCTCATAAAATGTGTTAGGAAATGTTCTGTCTTCCCTGATTTTCTGGAATAACTTGAGAGGGATAGGTATTAAATCCTCTCTGAAAGTTTGGTAGAACTCTCCAGGGAAGCCGTCTGATCCTGGGCTTTTATTCTTTGGGATGCTTTTGATTACTGTTTCAATCTCTTTACTTGTGATTGGTCTATTCAGATTATCTATTTCTTCTTGAATTAGCTTTGAGAGGTTGTAAGAGTCTAAGAATTTATCCAGTTCTTCTAGATTGTCCATTTTGTTGGTAAATAGCTTTTCGTAGTATTCTCTTATAATCTTTTGTATTTCTGTGGTATCCATTCTTATTTCTCCTCTTTCATCTTTAATTTTATTTATCTGAGCTTTCTCTCTCCTTTTCTTTGTAAGTCTGGCAAGGGGTTTGTCAATTTTGTTTATCTTCTCAAAGAATCAGCTCTTTGTTTCATTGCTTCTTTCTACTGCCTTTTTTAGTTTCAATTGCATTTGTTTCTGCTCTGATTTTTATTATTTCTCTTCTTCTGCTCACTTTGGGCTTTGTTTGTTCTCTTTTTCTAATTCAGTTAAGTGTAATTTGAGATTGCTTATTTGGGATTTTTC